CTTGGGTTGGCTCTCTGCCCCAAGAGGGCTTCATGTCCTCTGTGCTCAGAGGTCCTCCCAGCCCTGGCTTGTCCCTGTTCCATCTTGTACACTGAAGGCCTGGCTCAGGTTTCTACCCTGTGGTGTCCGTCCCAGGCCGGCCCTTCCCTACCATGAAATCTCTCAGTGGCAGTGGAAGATCTGGCAAGGGTGGGCTGGTGGCACTGTTATTACTAGCCTGTTTCTTATTGTTCCCAGCCCTCTACCCTTTTCGGAGCTGCTGAATCCCAGAACAGACACATCTAAGAATAGGCTGCTAAGTTCATTTCCTCAGGGCAAGTGCAAAGATCACTTGCAGTCACAGCCAGCCCAACCTGTCACATGGCCACCTGAGCAGCCCTAGACTTCTATTAGCAACCCCTGGTTAAGGCAGGGAGTGGTGAGGATTGATCGATGAGGAATTTGAAATCCCATTCGTCTTACACTGGGATAGGGACTGTCAGCAATGCGGATGCAATGCAAGGAAGGGGGATGCAGGGACTGGGGATGACTGACTGTGTATCCACCTGAGAAAGGGGCCTCTTCCCGCCATCTCTTAAGGTTAGTGTCCCCCTACTGTGCTGTTTTTTGTCGTTTCCTGTTGTTGGACTGGTAGTAGATAGTGAGTGCTAGAGGGTCTTTTGTTTGTTTTTTATCTGTTGCCGCTTTGGGACAAATTGTTCTTGTCCCCGCCTCAGAAGCATTCCTAGTGCAAAGTCTTCACGTGGTCGATAAAGCCATGTGAAGTCACGATCCTTTGAAAGAATAAGTTGGACTGTCAGGTAACAGTTAAGAGATAGCTCATCCACCTCCTTATCTGACTTGGTTACTCAGTAACCAGTGCCAGGTAGGGAGAGGCGCAATTCTAAGTGTCAGTTCTTGGCGACAAAGACTTAGAGGGTCATGGGGTAACCAGCCCCACCTGCAATAGTCTGGGGGCCTCGCCGCACACGGTCCTCGGTCTTTGCTTCGTTCCAGGCCAGCCTGGCCCAGCACTCGGGCTGCCATCCTTCCCCCTCACGGCCACCCTGGGGTAACTAGGCAAAGCACAGCTGTTTCTGTATGCCCCCCGGGGCCTCTCGATTCTGCAGGAAGGGCTTGTGAGAAGTGAAACCTGCGGTTCTATGTGCTGTAGGAGTGTGTCAGCTGTCTTTCCTGTGAATTATTGTGAGCTTGGCAGTCTTGGCCTCAGCGTCGCCCAGCCTTAACCTGATGGATGTCCCCAGTCTCCTCTGGACTGTGACACCTTGGCCTTTTTCTCAAAACTGCTGACAAAGTAGATCATAAAGAAGACTGGACTGCGACTCTGATCTCTTCCCTCTGTCATTCTCAGTCCAGGCATGAAGTCCCAGAGGAGGCCAGTGCCAGGCCTAAGATGACATAATGCAGTTGAGGACTTCCTGTCCCCCAAGATTCATGACTGCCCTGCTATCTTGGTTGTCAGATTTTCTACTGGGGGCTGGGGTAAGAGCGGGCAAGAGGTTAGGCCAGGCCCCTGGAGGAGGACGGGGCTGGAGTTGCACAGGTCAGGATGTCAGTGTGGACCTCTGCTGAGCCGTCCTGTTTGTTCCCAAGGGAGCCTGTGGGTGGGCCCCAGCAGGCAGGAATCTCTGCTCTGTCTCACTGCAGGCTTCCCCAGAGACACTGTGACCTGCCCCAGGCAAGGTGAGGGCACTCGTCGTTCACCTAGCCTAGGTACATGTGCTGGGGAAGTGGGGAAGGGGGCCATGCTGACCTCCAAATTCTTTCCTTCTAGTGAATCCAGGGTCTGGAACCCCCACCACTCGGAGTGTGGCGCCAGCCCCCACCCCTACCCGCCTCTCCTAACAGAGCAGCGCAGGGCTGCCTCAGTCCCCACCAGCTCTTCTTCCTCATCTGAAACTTTGAAACAATAGTAGCTGTACACCTAGTGTCAGGAACTTATAAGATCTGTTGTCTGCCTCGTCTCACTAACCTGTCAATAACCCTGTGAGAAAGGTCGCGAACTCTCTGCTTTTCAGATAAGCAAACAGGTGGAAGGAGTGAAGCCAGGTTTGGACGGATCCCTAAGGCCTTGCTCTTCCCTCCCCTAGACAAGGACTCCCTGCAATGCACTGCGGAGGGTGCCCCTGGTGTCGCTGTGTGCCCTGGGAGGGGCTCGCAGGGTGGGAAAGGCCGAGAAAGCGGGCCCCGTCCTCAGTGAGGAAGCCCATCTGGGGCTTTCCCAAAGCAGTCCCCAGGGCAGAGCTCAGGGTCTCACCCAGCTTCACCTGGGTAGTGTCCAGACCTCTCTGACCCAGTAAATCCCAGCCCCCTTGGATGACTTTCCACCATGGTCACCCTCAAGAGATAGTTTAAACTCTACAACGGGGCACACCCCACCTGTCCCCCGCCTCCTTCCCAGCCGCCTCACCTTTTACACTTGGCTCAGTCGCACCTTCCAGATATCCCGCACCACGAAGAGTTCTCCAAACAGGTAGTGTTAGTTCATGCTCTCTGTCTCTGCGCACGCGCGTCCCCGTCCCCGGACACGCTCCCTGCCCCAGCCCTGCCTGACCTGGCTTCTCCTGCTTGTTTTTGAAGATTCGACTAAAGCCTCACCTCTAGAAATCCTTTCCTGACACCGCTCCCACCCCAGCTGGGCTCGGCGTCTCTCTTTTGTGCTTCCACGTCAGGCAGGGCTGCCCGTTTTTATAGAACTTTGGCCTCAATCCTGTCCGTCTCCCCACTGACCGGGGAGTTCCCGGAGGGCAGAGGTATCTCTTACGGTGGTATCTCTTGCTCATTGCTGGATCCCTAGAGCGATGCCTATGCCTGGTACCTGGCAGGCACATGTGTGGATGTGGATGGGGGACCAGTCCTGTTTCTGCCGGAGAGAGTCAGGATGTCAGAAGCAGGCATTACCGTGTCTGCTGTTCTGGCCCAGCTCCTCCTCCCAGGGCTGGGAAAGGAGTCCACATTGAAAGGGGGCATGGAACAGAGAAGGAAGAGCACCGGGGACACAGCAGGAGAAAGCCGAGGGAGGGTGGTCTAGGTCTTTCCTAGGTGGGCGGGTCCGGGAGCCTGGACTTGAATCAGTGTGGTGGTGGGAGTGGGGATGGGAGGAAAGGGTGGCTGGCAATGCGGCTAGACCTTTGGGTCCCTCACTGGCTCCGACCAGCTCCTGAGAGGGCTCGGCATGTCCGCTGAGTTGCAGCCTGGCTTCCCATGCAACACCCGGCTCCACAGCCGCTAAAGGCCTCCCTGCTGGGCCTGTCTGTGATGGGAGAACAGTCAGAGCCAGGGGCCGCAGTGGGGCCTCAGGGCCTGTTCACACCCAGAGGACAGATGATTTGTCACCACTTCGGTGGCTGCATCCACGTGGCAGCCAAGATAGGCCAAGTCCCTGGGGTCTTAAAAGTGACACAACAGGGACAAGGGTGGGAGTAATATTGTGTTCACCGATCTTTGAGATAGACGTGGTTGGTGCTCTCATCCATGTGCAACTGAAGAGGAAGCCAGGGGCAAAAAAGGCGTAGGAACTTGCCTTTGGTTACACAGTAAATTCAAGGTCACTACTCAAAGCTGTCAGCTTTTCCCCAGACCAGGCAGACTCCCAGGCGCAACACCAGGTCGGAGGTACCTGTAGGGCTGTAATCTTCTTCCATCCATTGCTCTTTGGGGAAGGCCAGCTGAGGCACTCCAAGTTCTCTCAGAGAGTTTTTCCCCTCTGTGATTCAGCCGTGCGCCCTCGGGAACTGGTAGCCAGAGGGCCTGGGCTGTAGAAGAGCGTAAAATCCAGACTGAATAGTTGGAACTTCATTCTTAACAGATGGGAGGGCCACTGAAAAATTTTAAGCCAGGTAATGGAGTTGGTGTGTACCTCCCTTCTTTTAAGATCAACTGGGGGCAGTGGAGCGAATAGAGACAGAGAACCCAGGCAGAAAGTTCAAGTTCAGGGGTGCAGTGAGAAGGGCCTCAGAGTCCAACCTAAATTCAGGCTCTGCTGAAATTCCCCTTCATTTTACAAGCGTCAGCCTTCATGACGCATTTGGAGGAAGTGAGTTTGGGTTTTGGAGGCAGATCCCCAGAGAGGGCAGAATGAGCCTGCAGTGTCCTTAACTCTTAGGTTCATAGAGCTGAGAGATGCCAACGGCTTCAGGGACCCTCCTACCCTTCTTTTCCAACCTTCTCTGAGATCTTTAATGAAACAGGGCTCTGGGACTTTCCAAATACCTGGCCCTTTCTCCCGGGCCAGGGCTTCATTTTAAGACTCATTTTCCACGTACTTCCTGGCTCCCAGCTGACTAAGCTCAGCTGATACTCTTCTGGGGAAGCAGACAGTGACTCAGGAGGGCATCGAAGCCCTTCCCCAGACCCTCAGGAGAGGGGAAACAGCTGAGAGAGCATGGAAACTTCGCTGGTGTCTGGACGAGTTGTTCTTTCCATCCCAGACCAGTGCATGAGATGAGAAATGGGGGGTGGGGAGGGCACATGTGATGCTTGAGCCACAGGTGGAAAGGATGACCCTGCTGTCCAGTGGGATGGACGACACTGGGACTAGGAAGAGGACGTGGGTTCTGTTTGCAGCTGTCCCACTGGTGCCACATTTCCATCGGTGGTCCCACCATTGCTGGTATTTTTAAAATGATTTTACTTCTCTGCTCCCATCTGTCTCACACAAGCGTACACAAAGGCACCCTGCCCTTAGTGAACCAAATGAACATAGGTGACAAGAGCAGCAGTTCGTTTGTGCTGTCCAGTGTGCTGGTGCTGAGCCAGTTCTGTTGGAAGGGCTCAGGAGCTGGGACCAGGGAGATGGGGCTCCCTGAGCACCCTGGTTTCCGGGCATTGGTTCCTCCCCTCCCCTTGGCCTCTGCTCCAAGGAACTTGTGTTTAGAGGGGAGCTCAAAGGTAGAGAGCTGGTGGTGCTGAGGCACTGGGCTGCCAGAGCAGGCACAAGTGGGGTACAGGGCACAGGGTCCGATCTTCCTGCTAATCCAGATGCCCACTTTTTCTTGCAGGTACCGAGGCTTCATCCTGCTGCTCACCTTCTTAATTTATACCTGTTATCACATGTCCAGGAAGCCCATCAGTGTTGTCAAGGTGAGGCTGGCCTGGCGGTGAGGAAGAATGCAGGAGATGCTGGGCACCCGCAGAAATACACTTTAGTAACGGTCTGGAATTGGGCCCAGGACCATTCTCTTCCCTTGACCTGGTCGGCTCCCACTTTTAGGAGCTCTTTTTTTCCCGGGAACTTTCCCTGGGTACTCTTTTTGAGTTTATTCACCAAGACGGCAGTGTCGGTGGCGATGGGTGAATCGAGAGAGCAGGAACCCTGGGCTCTGTGGGTTCTGCTCATAGATTTTCCCTGCCCTGCCCTTCACTCAGGGTCTGATGTGGCCACCTGCCCCTACAGCCAGTTCCTGTAGGAGAAGGTACCAGAGGAAGGAGCAAGGAGTCCAGTGGGGAGGCAGTGGTGCTGGTAGGCTGGGCAGGGAGGCTGCTTGCTCCTCGCTGGGCTGAGTGGGCTCTGGGGCTATGCGATGACTCCTGACCTGTTTATCCCATTGCGTGTCCAGAGCCGTCTGCACCAGAACTGCTCAGAGTTAATCAGACCCTTCAATGACACTCACGATCCCAACGACACCACGTGGTGTGACTGGAGTCCGTTTGGTAAGAATGGGGCAAGTTGCTTCCCCACTCCCCATTCCCTTCCCCAGGAAGGGGCTGTCCAGGGCCAGAAAGGCCTTGCAGGGGCGGCCGAGCACCATCTCTCTCTCTCTCTCTCTCTCTCTCTCTCTCTCTCATCTGCTTTCAGACAAGAGCAACTACAAGGAGTTACTGGGGGCCGTGGACAATGCCTTCCTCGTGGCCTATGCCATCGGCATGTTCATCAGGTAAGACAGAGGCAATGCCCGTGACCACCGCAGAGCAGGGTGGTTCAGAGCTGCTGCCTCTGTTGACTAACCCGGGGATAGCTGGGTCAAAGTGAAAAAGGTAAGGGGTCCCCAAGTGGAAATGAGACCAAGACTTCTGCATGTGCAGTCAGTCCACAGCCACCCTCGTTTTCTTCCTTGGTCCCTGAGCCTGCTCTTTCACCTGGCCGACTCCCACTTTTAGTAGTTTTTTTTCCTAGAAAGCCTTTCCTGGATGCGTCTTCTGAGTTATTCACTCAGATGGCAGTGTCAGTAGTATAGCTAGAATATGGTTTGTCCTGCGTCAGGATTCTTCAAGGGTGGCCCTGGACACAGAGATGGTTAAGAAACCCCATCCTGTTCTGGCCTTAAATTAGCACAGCAGGTATGGCTTTTACACAACAAGCATGGTGCTTGTCACCATGGACTCAAAGGTGAATGAAGACAGCTACCACCTTCAACAAGCTCACAGCCTAATGGGATGACCGATTCATCAGCGGCTAGTTACAAACAGTGTGGTAGCTCCGACAGAGGTGGCTCCAGGGCATTCTGGGGGCTCAGAGAGGTGATTACTTAGTCTGAGCTGGGATTAGAGAAGGGAGCTTAAGGAGGGCTTCTTGGAGATGATACTTGCACTGATGCGAGCATTGGATTTGGTGGTGGAGAAGAGGCTCGGCAGGAGGAACAGCATGCGCAAAGTCAAGAACTATCAAACGGCATGATCTGGAGAAGTGGGGGACCAGTAACAGGTTTATCAGAGTGTAAAGACCGAAGCGGGTCGTAGGAGACGGGGCTGAAGAATGAGGGCATGTGTGCCAGGCCTCGGGCACAGGAGAGCACTGAAGGGTTTTGCTCAGGGCGTCACGTTCAGATTCACATTTCAGACAGGTCACTCTGAGGGGCATGGAGGGCAGACTGAAGGCCTGGTCATGCTAAGGAACAGATGGGTAATCGTCCAGCTAAGCTTTGAGGAACACTCGAGTTAGAACAGTAGAAATAGGAATGGAAAAGAGGTGACACACTGGAGAACTATTTAAAAGCAGAACGGGCGGGTTTTCGAGATCTAATGTGAAGGGTGGGAAGGAGAGGCAGGGAACTGAGGTAGCTCCCTGGTTTTTGGCTCGAGGGGACAAGGATGGCGGTGCCAATCCCTCCGATGAGGGCATAGGATCAGGGTCTGGGTCGGGGAGGGAATGGAGGCAGAGAGTTGAGGAGTGCGGATAGCGGGGATTAACTGCAAATCCAACTCTCTTTTCCCCAGTGGGATTTTTGGAGAGCGGCTCCCTCTCCGTTACTACCTTTCAGCCCAGTGGCCTTTTCACCTCGCTCTTTGGCCTGGGATATTTCTGGAACATCCACGTGCTCTGGTATTTTGTGCTCATTCAGGTATGAGCCTCCATCTTGCTCTTGGGCCTCTGTTCCCAGCACAGAAAGGACCCTGGGGGCTCTAGTCCTTCTCAGCCGCCCCCAGGTCATGGGCGATTGGGGCCCTGCGCACCTCTTGCCCTGCCCAGCACTCCTCTATGATGCTCTGCAGGGTCCGACTTTCCACCTCCCAGGGTCATGCATTTGCTCGTTCAGCGTAAGCCTGCGCTGAGCACCCCCTTGAGGTCACCTGAGATGCCTGACAGGCTGGGGTTCTGCAGCCAGAGAGCATTAGGGGGGTGTGTCTGTGTGTGAGGGAAGACGAAATTTGTGGTGTGGTCAGTTGGGGGCACCCCTCAACCATGATTTTGAGGGGTCAGAGAAGGGAGCTGGCAGCATGACTCGGCCTGTCTCACCTGCCTCCTCTCTCCCTGCAGATCTGTAATGGTCTCGTCCAGACCACAGGCTGGCCCTCGGTTGTGACCTGCGTTGGCAACTGGTTCGGGAAGGGGAAGTGAGTGTGACAAGGGAGCGGGACTGGGAGGTCCCCTGGGAGGGCTGGGGTAGTGAGGGGGTCACTCATGGCATCTTCATATAATTTCAAGGTGAGAGATTAGAAACTTGCCTCCATCTTGATGACTTTCACGTGCTAAGTAAGATATACACATTTTAGTGACTAAAAAGCAGTATCGATTTTCCATTGGTTAGGTTTTAACCCATAAAACAGCAAGTTTAGTTATGTTTTTGCCTAATAACAGATAAATTTCCATTTTGCATGAAGTAAAAAATGAAGCCTATAAAACTGTATGGCTTTTTCCTGAACTGGCTTTTGTGCAAAAAATGTTGCTTTAGAGCAGGATGTCTCAACCTCGGCCCTACTGACTTTGGGCTGAGTGATTCTTTGTTGTGGGGGCCATCCTGTGTGTTGTAGGATATTTAGCAGCATCCACCCACTAGATGCCACTAGCACACCCTAAGCCGTGACAATCAAAACTCTTCAGACATTGCCAGTGTCCCCTGCGGTTGAAGACTAGTGCTTTAGAGTGACTGCCATAGGGCAAGAGAGAAGAGAAGGGGTGGGTGCTCAACCCCCAGGGGCCGCGAGAGCTCCCTTGGGAAGCCCTGTGAGCCGGCTCAGGAACCCCAGGCCTGGCTGTAGGCAGTCAGTTTTCTGCATTAGATGGGGCAATTGCAACGAACTCTCTGCTTTCCTGTTTACTTTTTCCGCTCTTTTCCCTTCACCCTCCTGTCTTCCCTCCTTCCCTCCAGGCGGGGCTTCATCATGGGCATCTGGAATTCCCATACGTCCATGGGCAACATCCTGGGCTCCTTGATCGCTGGCGTCTGGGTGAGCGGGCAGTGGGGCTTGTCCTTCGTGGTGCCAGGCATCATCACCGCTGCCATGGGCATCGTCACCTTCTTCTTTCTCATTGAGTGTGAGTGGACCCTCCTCCCCACAGACCCCATAATTCTGAGAGAAGGCAGGTTACTGGTCAAGGAGTTGGAGGACCAGATGTGAGACAAGCAACCTCTCTGAGCCTCAGTTTTCTCATTTGTAAATTGGACTAATAGCATATACTTCCCGGGGCTGTCGAAGTTTTCGGTGACAGGTACTTAGGATGCCTGGCCCCTTGTTGGTGCTTGGCAAATGCTGGCAGAATATGAGCAGGGAGAAGGGGAAGGTGGGGTGGACAGGACGTTCCACACATTTGCTGTTCGCATCCCCATTCCCTGACTCACAGCCTGTGAGCTAGGCCAGGTAGTAGGGCAACTTCGTAGCAAGAGAATGGAAGTCTGGGAAGCTTTGTGTGGAGACTAGTCCCAGTGAAAGGGGTGGGCCTGGTCTTCGGAAACCTTCTTAGAAGGTTTTTCTTGTTTTAGATCCCGAAGATGTGGACTGCAGCTCCCCCCAGCACCACGTGAGTGTGAGCCTCCAGCCCGTTCCCTGCTCTCCTACTCCAGCCCCAGACAGGACTGGGGAGTTGGAGGAGGGAGCCCTGAGCCCACAGTTATGTCACAGGTCCAACATCAGGCCCTTGGGTTGCGTCCCCAACAGCCCGATGGGCTTGCAGGAAGTTAGACTAGTCCAGGAGAGGGACGTGCGCCTCTTCCAGCTTGGGAGCCCCTGCCTGTCTTGTGGGTTATCCCCACAGCTGGCATAGATGTACCCACAGCAAGCTCTTATCTCTGTTCAGAGCGGGCCGGAAGGGAACCAGAACTACCCCGAGGACTCTGGGAATAGCCCCTACTGTCACCAGGAGAGCAGCCTTGAGACAACGGCCAGATGCTCCAAGGAGCCAAGTGCTCAGCCTGTTGCCATCAGCTTCTGTGGCGCGCTCATGATCCCGGTGAGAAGTTGGGGCATGGAGGGGAGAGAGAGGCTCTCTAGACTTTTCCGTTTGGTATCGGGAGATGGGGATGCCGAGGGTGATCTACGGTTTCCAGAATTTCTTTACAGAAGATGCCTAGGGTGGGTATAGGGGAGGCTTGTCTTGACACCGCATTGGAACAGCAGGCACATTGCTTTTATTGAGAGTGGATGTGTACTGGAAGTGCCGTGTGTGGAGGGGCGTGGGGAGTGCTGGGGTGGTGCTCGGCCACCCCTGGGGCTGCCCCGAACGAGGATCTCCCGCATTTTTCCCACCTGCTATGCTCCCCAGGGCGTGATCGAGTTCTCTCTGTGTCTGCTCTTTGCCAAGCTGGTCAGCTATACCTTTCTATACTGGCTTCCCCTCTACATCTTCAATGTGGGTAAGTACCAGGAGGGGAGGAAGAGGTGAGGAAGGGGTCTCTGGTGGGAGAGGGAATCTGTCATGTGATGCATATGATTCCAGGATGTAGGAAGGATCTCTGCT